TTTGTTGTGTAAATCTAATCGATTAATTACAACAAAAGCAACAAAAATATCACTATTCTTAGTAATATTGACCTTGGATATAATAAGTGCATCTAGTTACCAGTTATATTTAATTCTATACTATACAAAAATAGATAATAATATATTTGATTATGTTATTTAATGAAGTGTTTTTAATAAATTTCACTGGTTTAAATCATGAGTCAATTGAAACTAGACCACCATGGAAAACCTGGAAGCACTGGACGGCCGTTTCGTCCTAGAATGGGACTCCTCAACAGTGCTCATCCACAATCCCGCCCCCCGTGAGATTCGAATCCAGGACCTATCAGTCTCGCTCCAGGCGCTTAATCAGGTAGGCCACTGAGCCGGCATCCAACGATGTTAATGTCTAACTTCAACCAATCCACGAAGTTGCGCCACCGTTTTTAATAAAATGTCAATGAATCATAAGCTTTTGCAAATCATTTGCATTCTGAAATTTTATATTACATAACTTAGAAATAAATAGATGACAAGAATTAGACATTCTATACATGTCTAGAATATTGTAATAATCAATGAGTTTATCAATTGTATAACTATAATGTTAACTATAGTTCATTCAAGACCCCACGAGGCGGGGTCACGGATGCGCACTGCTGAGGAGTTCCACAATAAGATGAAATGGTCGTCCAGTGCTCCCAGGTTTTCCATGGTGGTCTAGCTTCAATTGACTCATGATCTCAATTGCTGAAACTATATTATTGGTTCATTTTAAATATATATTATCCTTACTTTGTTTTGTTTTTGTTTTAATTTCTACATTCAGAAATAATTGAGATAGTTTGAAATCGTTAATTATTATATTATAGTAATGAATAATCTTTGACTATTCATTTTTGATTTGGCTCCACATAGTTCAATGTGTTCAACTTAACCATAGATCTTGTGTTCTTTTTTATTTAGGTTATGAAATATTGTTTTTGTACTGTCAATAATTAAAAGAGATTATGGATGAAATTATGTTTATTTTGTAAAGTGACTATATATATGTCTTATGGATTTTTTTAAATTTTAAGGTAGTTTACCAGCAGAAAAAATTAAAAAAGCATAAAATATTTAAAATGTTCACCTTATAGTCAGTAGATAATAAACTTGACAGTATACTGGATTCTAATCTTACTGTAAACATTAAAACTTGAATGCAGGTACATACAGATGACTAGTCTTAAACAGGATGAAATGGACGTCCTGGATTATACTGTCAGTTGTAGATATCAGTACTTCCACTGCCACGACCACGGTTATAAAAAATCAAGGGTCAAAATCACCAAGAAATTATAATCCATAAAATTATTTGCTGTTGGTTTGTAGTATATCAATAGATGCGGTTTCAAAGTAAGTAGGTAGAGATGTTAAGCGGTATAATAGAAAGTCAGCTGTTTTGGCTCAACTCTACCCATTCTCTTCCTTTAAAACCTGACGAAAATTGTTTTCTCAATTCTTCATTGTTTCTTTTACTTCTGTATTTCTCATTATTTAATGTTTATTGTAGGTGAAACTAGGCTGTCTTGTTTGATTTACGTCCTATTATTTTCTTTTCTTACTTTTCTAGTGTGATGTGTGGCAATTTGACCCAATACACATTTATTCCATGTCCTACATTGACTACGTTTGACTCGCAAACTTTTGGGCATCTTTCTTTTGAATGTTGTATTTATGATGTATTAAACGTAATGAGTAAATAACTACTTACAAATTAAAAATCATCACCGTTACACAAATGGCTATTTGTTTATCTGAACTCATTAGCTAGATGATGTTTGAACTGAATGGTAGTAGGTTAGTCAGCTGAATAATGTCAGAAAATAATAACTAATAAATGCTGTCTCCACAAAAATGTCGATGTCATTTTCTCTTCAGGATATTATTGTCCCGTAAAATGCACTTCTGTGAATTTTTAAATGATGTTGGAAGATTTTTTTAAATGCTAGTTTTCATATGTTCTCCTTGTTGTGATCTAAACAATTTGATAAATCACTGTTTATATAAACACTATTTTTCCCTTAGTTTTTTCTATGTATAAAAGTTTACTTAAACGTTATGGATTTCGTTTTTACTTATTTTTGTCTAAGCTACATACGTTTTCGTATTAACGTCGTTGTAGTGTCGGTTGTTACGTTAAGCCCATATAACTTATTCTAGCTCCTGGACAGGCCAACTTATCCATTATTCTTGAGTCACGTTTCGACCTTGTTAATTATTCGATTGTCAACCTTGACCGTTTTTATATGAGCGTATTTGTATACACATCTTATCCTACCCATCAAATGTCTATAACTTCTTTTTATGTGTCTACAAATATTGATTCACGCTTGATTAAATTGAGTTGGCTCACATGCCTTCTCCCCCCGTGCATCATTTCCTTTAGCTTTGTTCCTTTGATTGTTTGCCTGGATCAATGATTGTACAAAATATACTATTCAAAATCCTTTCTCGTATTTTACTTATTTTAATTGTTATTCACTAACGTGAGTGAAGTCGATTATTATATATGAGGATTGGAGGTATGGATATCTCAATAGTAATCAACTGGAGTCAGATCATGGGCTACATCGTGTTTTCAATAATATTCTTCATTTACATAAAAGATAAACGTGTCATGTTTAACATAGAAAGCAAAAATCTGATAACTACTAAATTCATACGACGTTCACGTAGTATTCTAACATAATCTTGTAAGCATCATCTTACCTTAACTAAATTTGTCGTAAACATTCTCTTGAACTTAATTCAAAGTAGTCTAACGTATTTTACCTGAACTCAATACCTAAAAAACCTTATTTATTAATAAGTGTAACAAAACAAATTAATTGATTTTCTAGAGAGAGAGTAACTTTCAATATGTAATTATTCTTAATGTTTATACAATTAAGATATTCATTCTAATTTTAGGTAATGCTTTACTTAACTAAGTACACATTGAACGAAATAGTTATTATACAAGTAAATTACATCAGAATAACTGTCCTCTAGGAAAAGATTTATTCTTTTTACATTCATAAACTGACTGATAATGCAATAATCAGTATTGAATGTGATTATTAATTGATTAATATACATGAGAAGTAAAAACTATAGGTGCTATCATTAGTAGACTGCCTTTGACTAAGCGGAATAGTATTTGAATTTAGTTATTTCTTGGTAACATACTTTATCAAATTATCTTTCATTTGATGTTTTTCGAAAAGAATGTTTCACGCTTTGCCATAATCTATAGATGGTATCATATTATGTGATATCTTTTTTTATCATAATATTAAACATCTTATGTTCTCCAAAAGAATATTCTAATGATCGATTTCCTGATGTATTAGTAATCAAAATCAATACTATAAATATTTTCATAATGTACATTTAGTTTCCACTTTTTCAGTTATTGAACATTTCAGTCGTTATTGATATATGGTTACTTTACGTTTATTATATGAGTTAAATATTTGAACTGAATTTTTAAGAAAACTAACAGTTTTTAAATGTAGAAATAAATCGAAAATCTTGTGGCGTAGTTAAATAACTAAGTAATTTTGTCTTATTACTAATATACATATATACTTTTATCAGGTGTTTTGTGTACAATATAGTAGTTTCATTGGTTGAGATCATGAGTCGATTGAAATTAGACCACCCTGGAAAACCTGGAGGCACTGGACGACCGTTTCGTCCTGGTATGGGACTCCTCAGCAGTGCGCATCTACGATCCCGCCCCTCGCGAGATTCGAACCCTGGCGCGAGACTGATAGATCCCGGGTTCGGATCCCGCGGGGAGGGGCGGGATCATGGATGCGCACTGCTGAGGTGTCCCATACTAGGACTCATGATTTCAACTAATGATATATATATTTTTGGTAAATTTTATTGTGGATTCGAGAGGTTCCTGCTATGATTTTATCTAAATAAGTAAATATTTTATTTGACAATTGAAAGTTTAATTTCTTCTAATTAATAAGTCTGCTTACTGGAAGCAATCACATGAAGCGGTAAAGGTAATTTTACATGTTTGTGATGATTGATTAATGCTACAATCAGGAAATTTAGAACAAATGATTGGTAGGTATAATATCATACACGATAAATAAAAATCAACTGATTATTGACACATTTCGATAAATATGGTCCTTATTTATTTGGGTGGGTAAAAAACGACAAAATTTAAAATGAAACAAAAAAATTTCACATAAAATTAGATTTACATTAGACTACATCGTTGAATAGGTATGACATGGTGTCGTGGTATGAAAGAAAGCTGCAAAGGGCTGGCCTGTGTTGGTCCTTCACGACTCCCTGGCTGGGGTCCGAGAGATGGTAAAACACAGTGGCTAGAGACGTTATCAGATATGGCTCAGAATAGGAGCCAGTGGCGATCCTGCTGTAACCTTCTTTTACTTTCTACATAAAAAGTGGTTGCTTCTTCCTTAATTGAAAGATCTCTTCTGATTGTACTTTTCTGTTTCCCCCATTATTATTGTTATTATTACACTACCTTACATTAATCTGTTCGTTATTGTTCTTTTCTTAACGCTCCTTACCTTTTCATTTTTTTCCTTCTTCTCTTCAAATTCTCATTGCTTTGTGTGGTGCATATATATTTGGTGCCCTCTTGTACCAATATCTATGTGTCCAAATAAATAAATAAAAAGGTATAAACAGTAACATAAAATAACTGTTATCCTACTGATTAAGTTTCTTATTCAAAAGTAAGGAGTTATTATTAAACATCAGGAAGATGAAATTAGATCTGAAAATATAGTTTAGTACCCATATTCTATGCATAAAAAGGAAGAAAAAGTTTGTCTGTTTTTCTTGTACAAATAGACATTGTATAACTATATGTGTATACACATGAACAGTGCATTGCAAATTCCATGCTAAAAATCTTTTTTTTTGTAGTTTCTCCTTTTTTTTCTCTCATATTTTTCTACCGATTTGTGAAGATATCTGTTTTGTTACTATTATAGGTATCTACAAAAACTAAACGTGTATTCATCGGTGGAGTTGCAACACAAACAACAAATGAAGAATTAAGTGAATACTTTAGTCAATTTGGCAAGGTAAGCAATTTGAGGCTATGTTCGATTTCTATTCCAATGATTTAATAATAACATAAAATGAAATAAGACATAAACTCTTTCGGAAATAGCCAAGAGAGTAATATATAACAGTGAAATAGAAATCTCTGATCAGATACCAAAGTGAAAGCAGTGACTGGTTAAAATTAAAAATTTAATTAAATGTCTTATTTTTGTTAGACATAAATTCTAGGTGATTTTATGTATTTTTGAGAGTATGAATCTCAGCAATTAAAGCATTTTACCTTTCCTATTGCATAAATGCAACCACGGTAGATTTATCAACGTTTAAGCTATCTTTTTTTCAGACACAAATTAAGTACACCGTTCTAATAATTCTATTTATCGACATTTTAACCCATTCAATCTTTGGTATTCTTGAAAAATGGTATAAATATGATACTTGTCGAATTCGATAACTCTTTATCAATAATGATAAAGCGTTTCCATTCACGGTCATTTAATCGGTCATCCAGTTATCCATCTGATAACTAAGATGTTAACATAGATTTTTCGCTTCACCTGAAAGAAATTATTTATGACAAATTTCATCATATACTATTAACAGATTACTTAACGTTAGCCAAAAATAATTAATAAACCATGAAAAAAAACTGGTTAGTCAATTTCAGAAAATTAATATCTAACCAATAAATTATTGCACAACTCACATAATAGGTGTTATCATAAATACCCCGTATTATAACTTTAGCGGTTAGATACATGCAAAAGGCTATTTTATATATATATATATATATATATATATATATATATATATATATATATATCAAAGAATTGGTTAAATGATAAATTACTATCTGCATCCCAAAGTTATTTTTACTTATCGATTTTGTTATTACAATCAACCGACTTATTGTACAGAGAAATTATTAGTTTTCAAATAAAACTCAACGAAATGTCAACAATACTATTAATAATAATTTATTGTCAGAAGGGAGTTTTTCTAGATGTTATAGTAATTTTACAGTTGAGTTGATGCGTCATTTGAAGCAAGACCATCATTGGAAACCTGGACTGGTTGAAGTTAGACATTATCATTGTTGGATGCCGCCTCAGTGGTCTAGAGGTTAGGCGTTCGCGAGCGAGACTGAAGGCCCTGGGTTCGGATCCCGCAAGTGGGATCGTGTATGTGCACTGCCAAGTAATCCTAAGATAGGACGAAACGGCCGTCCAGTACTTCCAGGTTTTCAATGGTGGTTTAACATCATTAGGTTCATGATCTCAATCGAAAATTATTAATTATTAAACCAGAAAATACTTTGAGAAATGATAGATCAACTTATCTTTCATGTTGCTTTGTTGAATGGCATAGTACTTTCTTGAAATTCGAATGCAGAATTACGATACCTTCATATTTATTTTGACCATTAAAGAATATAATATGTTAACAAAGTTAAATTTAGAATCAGTTTCCCATTTTCAAATAATTTATCGATGCTTATGTCAATTTTCTAATTGAATGTGTTGTTTAATAGGAATGATAATCAAAAGATTATCTCAATATAAATTAGTTTGCTGAGTATTTAAAAAGATAAAGGTTTGTAAATAATTATCGATTACAAGTGATTAATGGCTGATTTTCTTCAAAATACAAGGGTTTTTCTTAAGCTTCTCCCGTATCAATATTTTCACTACAGAGCATACAGTATTTCTATTTTGATACATGAACATCAATTCTTTTGTGCTTTGTCCTTATTCTTTTAAAAGATAAACAAAACGGAAAAGTTTACTAATCACTAAAGTGCTTCTGCTGAATGGCAGATTACAGCGCGTATGTAAATAAATAAAACGTAGGAAGCATGACGTCATTATTTGAAAAGTTAGGAAATGTGTTGTGAAGGGAATCAAGTGATTCATGGATTATGGATTAGGCACCGTAAATAATGTTTATTCCATTGACAAGAAGAAACTGACTGAGTGACAAGGAAGGAATTCTACTTTGCTGACTTCCATCATTACGCTAAATTAACAGTGTCACTAAACACACGTAATGTACACGTATTATTTCGTAAATCTCTTCCAAGCATAGCTTTAATCCAGTTTCTTCAATATGTGATGTTTAATTTAGAGTAGTTGACGCATACTAGAAATTAAATCATAATGTTATGGAAAATCTATTATTAGTGTATTTAGAAGATTTGTTGTGTATGACAAACAACTCACTGCTTACTATTCTAATAGAGGAGAAAATTTTTTAAAAAGAAACATGTACCAGAATAAGATTATAAATCACTTAGGCAGACACAGTTTCCTGGTTGGGATACATATTGTAATTGTAACCAGCTATTCATAACTTTGGTTGATTTTTGTCAAAGTTTTTAACATCAGCATAACTATGTTTACTATTTATCCTGCTCTTTGTTTTAAACATAGGTTACAAGAAAATACAATATGAATAACTGATCTCTTAATCAACTTCCTGAACTGTTATTAATGTACGACGACATATTGATCTCTCTGCTTCATTCTCCTTCTCTCTCTCTCCCTCTGTATATATATATATATATATATATATATATATATATATATATATATATAGTTTTCCTGTTATTTAGAATAGCATAATCGTAAAATCCTTAGTCGCTGTTATTTGGGCTTATAATACGCTGTGTTAAAGCAATTAATGTTTTAACATAACTGTCGCATAAGTGTACATAAGTATGTTGATCTCATATGTCTTCGTTTCATAGTAATTCACAACTTGACAGAAATAAATTATGCATTTTCATTCAGTTAACTAACATTTATTGAAATTGTACAGAATAGATATCTCTAGTGTAATTTAAGTGCTATTGATAATGTTAACAGTTGTTTTTTCCTTCCAATAATGTTTTAAAAACTGATGGAAAGGTTAAGTCAGAAAAGTGGTTTGTGGTTTATTACAATTAACTACAGTTTGACAGAATGAAATGTTTCACTGTCTCAAATAAATCTATTCGCTTAATATTATGGGAAAATAATATTTTCTTTTCTTTCTTTTAAATCAATCATTTAACCCATATAACACATAGGTTTTACATCATATTTCACATAGGTTTACAATGTATTATATATTTTAAGTCATTTTTTAAAATTTATCTTTTGTTCATTTATATAATAAATATACTACTGAAAACAACAATTTTCTTTAAATGAACCATCAACAGTTGATCTATTAAAAGTTTATCCTTCCATCTACCTGAATGAAGTGACTTTACTCGATGAGATCACATAGACTAATGACTTAAAATTATTTGTAGATTTTTCATTTAAAGAGTTATTGTAACCCTGTAAACATGAATGTATCTAATAAATCATTGTAAATTAAAGTTTGAAGCAACCATTTTACAGTTTAAACTTGATCTTATATTGACCACTGAGTTATATGGTTCATATGATTTTTATTAACTGTATATAAAAGAAAAAAATGATCGTGTAAGATTTCTATCTTTTACTTATTATGTCAAGAATAGAAATAATGAAATGTAGTCTGAGGAGTCCCATACTAGGACGAAACGACCATCCAGTGCTTCCAAGTTTTCCATGGTGGTCTAGCTTCAATTGACTCATGATTTCAACCAGAGAATAAAGATCGATAAATATGTTAATGGTTTCTGTTTACTGTCCTTGTAGTCTACTTAATCCAGTTATTGAATGATAACAATTTTATCTACTTTGTCAAATTAAAAGGAAACCAAAAAAAATTTTTAAGATTTAAATATGTCTAAAACTATTTAGTTACAGAGTCTTGAATAAAATCACTTTAGCTGAAAGATTCAATGTCTGTAACAGAAGTAAACTCTTGAAGTAATTGAGTAAACATATTAACTCAACCAAAAAATTACACTGCGAATTAGGTTTAAATCTCATTCATTCATACATTCATGTTGTCTCTAAATGTAAAGCTGTTAAAAGGTTTCCTTTTGATTTCTGGGTTTTGTTTTCTGCATCAATTATTCAATTCAATCAATGGAATTATACATAGATGTGGTTAAAACAAATGAGGATAGAATGTAATCGGTTCTTACTAGTTATTATTATTATGATTATGATTGATATAGTTGAGAAACTGAATCACATACATGTAGGAGAGGAATAAAAATATTAGCAAAATTATCTGTTACACTAATGTTTCTTTGTTCTTGATGGAGTTGATACACAATGCTCAAATTATTACTGATACAATTATCAATAGCTTAATTAAAGTATGATGAAACATTGTATTTTACCTTACATAAATGATTAGATTGGATAGTTCACAGATAAAAGTAACTAGAATTTTATGAGCTGCGTGTAAAACAGAAAGGCTAAATAATAGAAATCCCTTGATATCAGGTCAATCTCTCTCTATATATAAATACCGAATTCATCATTATTATGTATACAAGTTCACGCTTCAATTTATTTTTGCAAATCATTTGGGAATTTTCTCAAAAACGGGTACACTATATTTATATATTTATACTCATACATACATCTACGTTTACCACCCGCTGTGATTAATAATTAATTCTCACAACTTATATAATAAGCAAGGAAAAATTCGATTTACTCTGTATAAATCTCTATATAGATATATATTCTTTTAGTGTTTATGAAAATCATTCTTATTCTCATTTTCATTGTAATTTAATTGAGTGTGCAATTGCTAATCAAAATATCAGAAGAAAGCTTGTTATGTTGATTGAGTTCAGTGTTTCTAAAGTTTGTAATTAATAATGAATGTTAAATTAGACCTGATTGTAGGATATAATCAGATGGATTGTTTTGTCCAGATATACTCTCAGTACTTAATTATTATCATTGTACCATATAACTGTAAGGAGTCAATTGTTTTTCCGTAAAAAGCTAATATTGTTCATTATTTATCTTATTAAATCTATAGTGAATAAGTACAATCGAATTAAATACATACTCATATTACGGATTAAAGCGAATACATTACTACTTAATTGACTGTCTGTCTGTCTGTAAGAATAAATCTCTTTGTAATTTCAGTTTCTCTACAAATTTTCTTCTCTTTTCCATTATTTTGAAAACGACCCATCGATGAGGGCATAGTGATATACATGGCTCTCATCAAGAATAGGTATTCAATTATTCAAAAACAAGAAGGCTGAATACCCATACAAAAAATAGCATCGTAGCAATTATTATATGATAACTGGTAATATACTACTGAATTTTAATGAAAATTTATTCTTTCCAATAAATTCAAAGCGTTTTTAACTAACTTTAATTTTTTTTCTTTGAAGCAATGTTTATTTGACTCAATGGACTTCTTTCACCAAACCTTTTTTAATTGGTAAATCTTAATGTTCCCATGAGAGAATGAACGTTATTCATCTTATCAAATTTTTATCTAATTTACGCATTAAATATATACATATGCGAAGATAATCTGATTATTTTTACCAGTGACTTGGCTGTAACAGATGAAAAGGGAAACATCGTGTTTTACTATCACGGACGGTTAAAACTATTTTTCTTTAATGTTTACCTAAGATCATATCATCTAGTGTGTCTTAATTTAATAATACTGATCGATATTTTCGTGACAACTGATTCCTTGTAAATTAATTTAATGTTGTTAATTAATTAACACACGAATTACGCCGTTAGATTTTCTACGTCCTACTATTTATTTATACGTCATACAGATAAATCAGCGTCAAACTAAAATTTGTCAGTTATTTTTTATTTCAGACAAATAACAGTAGTTTTAGGTAGTGGTCGACGGATTTTCTAAAGCTTATGGGTGCTTAATTTGTTTGTTTTTTTGTAAACAGATCTTTAGTTCACTCAACTAAGCCGCTTATTTCACTCATTTTAATTTAAGTTTATCGCTTGAACACAGACATACGTAGAAATGCTCTTAGTTTCTGTTTCTACCTCGTTCTCTATTTATCCTTCTACTTAACTTGTAATTTTTCATTGCTATAGAAACATAGATTATTCTATTTAGACTAAAACGCTTCGTACTAACACAAACAGCCATTTTATTTATACTAATTGAGAAGGGGGTAAATTTGAATTCTTTTTTAAGAAAAAAAATGACTTTTTTTTTCAACATTTTATGATCACTTATTTCAAAATTTACTTCAAACTTTTTCAATTGATTGACTTTATTACATCATGAAAAATGGTCACTATGGAAGTTTTACATAGGTAGAAATTTTGTCAACAATCAAATTAAAAAAATATATATGGGATATTAATAGAAATGTTAATTATTTTCCTAATAAATAATAAATAATTTCAATGGTTGAGATCATGAGTCAGTTGAAGCTAGACCACCAAGGAAAAGCTGGAAGCTCTGGATGGCCGTTTGATCCTATTGTGGGACTCCTTAGCAGTGCGCATCCTCGATCCCGCTCCCCGCAAGATTCGAACCCAGGATCTCAACCATCGAAATTACTATAATATACACAATACCTCTCCTGAAAATAATAAATATTTTAATACCTTTTTTTGAAATATCAATAAAATACTGCATTATTCATGTACTATTCATAGATTCATGATATTCCACTTTGAGTGTTACACTTTTATTGTTGCTTACTAGTGCAGGATATAAAATCTTTTTTGAAACTGAATGTGGTCAGTTCATTTACGGACATATACCTTATGCCATTTTTTCACGATAATGACTTATGAAAGTTGTTGAATAAAATTTGTAAATTAATTTTTTATAATGGCCAACAATTTAAGTTCATTAAGATAGCTAGTCTTATGCTGTATTACAAAAGTCTCAATATCCTATCACGTCATGTGAATAAAATAAATGAAGTTAAAAATAAACACGGTTGAATGTTAGCCAATGATCTAAAAGTTAAGCGTTTGTACTCGAGACCGAAATTCATGGGTTTGATTTCCATTTGAGTGGTCGTGGTTGTACACTGCTGTGAGGTCTCATACTAGAATCAAATGGCCCTCTAGTAATTCCACGTTTTCAATAGTTGTTTAACGTTGATCGGTTCACGATTTCAATGAAAATTTAGAATGGCGAATTCCAGTGAAAATTATCTAATTGAAGAACACGTAGCTACCGAATCGTCGTTGACATGTATTTGCTGGAAAAACTGTGAGTTGGAAATCCAGTTCTTCCATCTTGACCACGTAAACTGATTGACCCTACATTGTGAGTTGATAAAGTATTGTTTTAGATATAAACGTAAGTTATCCATAGAACCTCTTTATATTCCACTTATCCTCACTATACCGAGATCTCTCATCAATTATCATTTTTAGCCAGTTTCTACATAACTGACATACAATTAGAATGGCTGTCTATACAACAACTGGACAATTACACTCATATATTTCTTTAGGAATTTCATTTCAGTGATTATAGACTTATCAGATATAACAAAGTTTGATCATTGTGAGGTTGAATTACCTATCATTTACAGTCGATTTTAATGCTAGCTACTGTCCATCTCTGCTTATAGAGCTTGTGACTTAAGACAATATCAAGGCAATCTGCACAAATGCCAATAAGAGACTGATCAATTGCAGTCCTAAACATCAATTGGAAGATTCAAACGACCGATAAAAAATGAATTAAAAGCTACAACTGAAAATTAAAACAAATGTTGAACGTGACTGTAACAACGCATAAACACAATCTATAGCTCATTGTAAAAGATATATATCTCGAGTGCAGAATTATTGAGTCCTTTTTAACCTTCAAGTGAATGTTAATAATGAGTCTAAAATGTCTTGAAGTGTTCACCATATGTTTTCTTGTGTTTTAGTGACTAACATACTTGAATTCTCTTACTCTAAAAGTTATCAGACCTAGAGATGTTTGGTATAAATACGGCTTTTTGTATATCTGTCGTTAAACTATATGGTAATTATCAATATTACTGTATAGTTAGTTACTAATCCCAAGCTAGACCATTAGCTGTACACTAATTTATATATAATAGAACTAAACCCGCTTTTTAATTTACTTAACCGATTACTTTGAAATGTTTCCTGTTTTGGAAATTCATTTGAAGTACCCTATTCATTTTTTAAAACTAACTATTCAATTTTCAAAAAAAAACCAAGGAACATTTCTACTCGTCACTTCATTGAGTTTTTTATTTCCACTTACTTTTAAATTGTTTTTATTTTTATTTTGCTAAACCATGATGTTTTAATCAGACCCAATTATGTGTCATTTTTATTTTTTCTAACAGCTAGAATCATGTGAATTAATGATGGACAAGTCAACTAATCGACATAGAGGTAAGGTGAAATTCAACTGCTAAACAAATATTTCTCTCATTATACCTAGTTTAATTGTCATAAGATACATTAATTAATAATAGAGGTTCACGGTCTCAGTCTGAATCACTCAGTAGCATTCTTATCTAATTCACAGTTATTTTGAATGTGTACGCTAATGATCGTTGTTTAATGTAATGAACTGAACACAGGTAGAGATATGAAACAATAAATACTTTATTCTCCAAATAAAACACAGCTACTCCTAAACATAATAGTCTTGGTTTGTGAGTATTCACCACTATAGAATCCTAAACCAAAGTTCCATAGTCATTTCTTACTGCTTTGTTTTTAATATCTTTGCACTTAGAGTAAATTAGTGACATAGGTGTTCCGGCACCATAATGTAACAACAGGTAAGATAGTAATGAAATATGTGGAGAACTCGAGAAGAGGTACAAATTCGTTTTTGTAACTGATCTCTATATAAAACATTTCTTAAGTTTGTATAGTGAAAATTCTCATTTTAGCATACAGTAAAAAGAAAGAATAAAGTGAAGAAATTTCTTTTTAGTTAGTTTTCCATCATGGCCTGGAGTCCCTCCGGGGGCTACTGCCGGTCCCAAACCCGGATAAAGGAGGAGGGTTGGGCATGGGGTTAGCGTCCCCATCCCGTAAAAAACTAACTCGCTAAAAAACGCTAACCAGAAAAAATTATCCAAACCTTTTAAACTCTGCCCTGGGAGTCAGAAGGTCTTCATTTAGAAGAATTATGACGCCTCATGATGAAAGCCGAATTCCTTCGGAAGTTACGAGGCCGATGCCCCTTCTGACAACCAGAGCGACCATTTATTTAGGTACATGGAATGTTCGTACATTGTGGGACACCGGAAGAGCCTTCCAGATTGCTGCAGAAATGAGAAGATACAACCTAGATGTACTTGGGATCAGTGAAACACATTGGACACAAGTTGGACAACAACGACTAACTACAGGAGAGCTCCTGTTATACTCCGGCCATGAAGAAGAAAATGCACCACATACACAAGGAGTTGCATTGATGCTGTCCAAACAAGCGCAAAATGCGCTTATAGGATGGGAATCTCATGGACCAAGGATCATCAAAGCCTCGTTTAAAACAAAGAAAGAGGGTATTTCAATGAACATCATCCATCATGGCTCTACACTAATAATATATATGTATGATTAACAACAGTGAAATAATTCTCATCGAGTGGTTGCGTTACATAACAATTATGTTGCATTAATTATAAAATAATTTTGAGTAGCAGTTATGTATTATGCAATATGGAGTAAATATTCGGAATTCAAACATTTGCCATATTGCACAATACATAACTGTTTAATTTCCAAATAGTTACTTTGACTACTATCATCCTCTTTCTTCAAGTTACTCAATATTATTTTATAATTAATGCAACATTATATAATTGTTATGTAACGCAACCACTCAATGAGAATTATTTCACTGTTGTAAATCATACATATATATTATTAGTGTAGAGCTATGATGAAAAACTAACTAAAAAGAAATTTTATCGCTCTATTTATTCTTAGCTTAATGTTTTATCTTCCACCAGCTGAGCTATAACAAAATGAAGTTGTTAATCGATCTTTAGTTCTGCCTTTGCCATAATATTTTAACTGTGACCTTCAAAAGTGGACTAAAGGTTCATAGACTAAGTCTAAGTAACTGTCTAGTGATCCTTGATCAAGTATAACACTTATATAAGATAAAATAAAAACTAAGATATTAAATGGACTTAAATTGTAACTTTGAAATCAATATAATTAATTAATAAATTATCTCCTCTTGTGATCAATATAATCAAGAAGATTATTTTCTGATAGAATTCTATGTTATTCTAATGAACGAATAAAACTATAAATATTTAAGTAATTGCACTTAGAAATCTTTGATCAATATTCTCAGTGGGGAGTATTCTTTTTGCACTGGCCTAATTCATCAAATATCTTGTTGTAATCACATCGATGTGTAAAGGACAAAGCATAAGGTGCATTCCTTTGTATATATATATATATATATATATATATATATATATATATATATATATATATATATATATATATATATATATATATATATATATAATGCACTGTTAAGCTTCTATTTCTTTTTACTTTCTAAAAAAATGTCTTTCTGTGTACTTATTAAGTTTCGTTCACAAAATATGTAAGTTTAACTAGCAAATAAACAACTTCAACTAACTAGTTGACTAATTCAATAGATGAATAGTACAAAACTAGACTTGAATTATTAGTTTCCTAAAAAAAACTGATTATTCAGAGGCATAATAGAGAAAAATGTGATCGCAAAAAATCTTGTGATTAGGTTGAATAGAATGAATGATTTTATTAACCTTATATTCATTTAAAGTCTCAATAAACTTTATCTGAACATTCAATATTTAAATTAAGTTATGAATTTTTAACTACCAATTTCAAAGTGATTTGTAAAGATACCAATTACAACTGTAAATATCCAATATTTTAATGCATCATATTAGTTTATTTATTTATTTGAACACATAAATCTTAATACAAATGGGCATCGAATACATATATTCGTTACACAAGTCAATTGATCTGTGTGTGGGCTGTGATACTGTTTGGGTGCCTAGAACGAAGCAGGTAGTTTCCTAAGGAGCCATACCCTGGGCATTTGATACAAAGGTCTAATCAACAAGGCAGTGAAGCAACGTCAGGAGATGCAGTCCTATGGTAGCCGGTGACCAACAATTGGTTCATACGGCATTTGTCCCTTCAGGATCTTGGAGCCCATATGCACTATCGGTTTTAAATCAGAGTTTTCCAACTATCCTAGGTGGATCCTCCGTGTCCACCAACCCGGTTAGAGTGCCGGACATTCGCCTTTTGTCCTCTTAATATCGTAAACGACACCCCCGCTGTAAGAAGGCAGTGAGTAGGACTTCCACATCAGTGGTTATATGAACGTAACCATATGAGAGCATTTCGAGAAGGAGTACAGACTCTCCCCACTCTCGGTTGTATCAGGATATTTGTGAGCGCATTGCATTAGAATCAGTTTCTAATATTCATTTGAAATATGAATATAAGTTATCATTATATCTTTCTAAAACATATTGTATTCCGTTGTGATTTTAATTGTTTCTTAGAAAAATAAATAAATACTCTACTTTATAAATATATACAAAATATTTTGTAACTAATCACAGAGCTTTAAAGAAAATTAACTTGAATTCATATGAATTATTTTCAGGCTTTGGATTTGTTACTTTCGAATCAGAAGAATCAGCTGAAAAAGTTTGTGAAATTCATTTCCATGATTTGCATAATAAAATGGTAAGTTTCAATGCATATAAAAACTTCATTTTAGTTTCCTTTTTTTTTCTACTCGAATATATATAAATGTACTTACGCATTTTTAAATTCAAACTTTTTTGTACACTAGCGTTAACATTACACATAACAATTAATCAGGCAACACGAAAAAGAACAACAAATAATCCGGTATGAGTATTCCGAATAGCTCAATAGTAACGTCTCACACTGTGAAGCTGGTTGCTGTGAATTTGAAAGTAATAGGAAACATCAGTTCCTTCAAAATTATACGCACGTTATCCTAGAAATTGGTAACTAGCATATAATCTAGGTCATATAGGGTTGACTACGTTGACTACTTCAAATCACTTAAAATCTTACCATCGTTCACAACATGTTGAGATATGTAGACACATCGCAACATGATTGGTAGAAATATATCGAAACTAAAAAAACTAGATGAGCATAATGTTGCTCACTAATCAGAAAACAAAGCCTGAAAATTTTGATAATCATAAAGCCTCGTTAGTTCATTGGTTTCCCTTTAAATTTTGATTATGATAAGATCAACGTTCTTCATTTCTTAACTTTGTCTGTTCATTTTAAACCGAATTTTCCATACCTCATTTCCCTTCAAATTTTGTCTTATTTTCTATTCTAGTATTCTTATCGGTAATTTTTTCTCACAGTGGTGATGTAAAGTGAACTAATACAAAGTTTTTAATTGAGATCATGAACCCATAGGTGTTAGACCACCATTGAAAACCTGGAAGCACTGGACGGCCGTTTCGTCCTATTGCGAGACTCTTCAGCAGTGCGCATCCACGATCTCGCTCTCGGGATTCGAACCCAGGGCCTTCATTCTCGTGCGCGAACGCTTAACGTACTGGACCACTGGGCCGGCATCCGATGGTGTCAATGTCTAACCTCAAACATTCCATGAAGTTACGCGACCATCTTCCATTGTACTGAGGTAGACACCTGTTTCTAGCCGAAACAGATTAGCTCCACTGGTGACGGCTTCTCACCAGAACTCCGAGAATTTTCTCACGAAGCTAGTCACTAGTAAGCGCATGGTAATTATCAGTTTAGGGTGGTCTAACAACAATCGGTTCATGATCTCACTCAGAAACTTAACAATCTCCACAACCCCTAAACAGATAATACAAAGTTATACTTATTTGCGTCACATCTTGAACTTGATAACAATTAACCGTATCGATTCAGTAGTTATCGAAAAATAACATGAGGGAATTATTTTATACTTCATTATTAATTTTCTGTACTCTACAATATTATTGGACCTTTTTCGATATAGTAATTGTATATTTCAGCTCAGACTAAAAACTATAGAGAAATCTCTTCAACTTATTGTGTAACGCTTTAGATAAGTTCATCTGTGAGCACTTCATTACAGTGAGCTGATTATTGTTTTAATGATTAGTCTATTTTCATGAGATACAGTTAAGCATAAATAAAGAAATTAAAAGTTATTTGCTTGAACTTGAGTGTCTAAATGACAAAATAGCTACCAAGGCATGATAATTGCAAATGTGTAACCCAAATGAAAATCGATTATACTATTTTCATTTAGTAAATTTAAGAAAGACTTTCTCTCATTTTTCAACTTTATCATCATTTTGACATGGTTCAAACGAAGAAAATGTTTTACTTCATTGGAAACTATTTTATCGATTAGAACTATACCACACAAACATTAAGCGATTTATATTTATATATCAGTAAGTATATACATACAAATATATATATGCAAACAACATCAGAGTTAACATATATATGTATATCCATATAAAGAAGAAGAAAACTTAGCAGAAAATTCATTTAACTGACCCTTAAATCTAGACAGAAAAATGTTGACGTTTATTTAATCTAAGGACAAGCTTATGATAAAACCTAAAGACAGAATGAAGGCATTATTGTTATATCGTATTTTTTCAACTATGAATGTATATATCACCCATCTTCCATTTTTACGGAACATTTATTGTTTTTGATTTGTTTCTCCTATGTTTTCATTCACCTTTTGTTCCTTGTTTATCATGTTACTCATTTTCCTTATGCTTTTTCTTATTGTAAATATTGTATTGTAAGTTTTACTTTACATAAAAGTAGTAATGACTCTTTCGTTTCTTTTATGAAGAAGAACATGATTTTTTTCAGCTGATTAAAAAGATCTAGTTTGTGTAAATGATTAGATATTTGTAATTATTTGTTGTTTTAACACAGTACTTTGATGTATAGATATACTATATTTGACTAACAATACTATGGTTAAGACCATTATAAAGACAATTATCTAGTGATTCATCCAAGTCTGTTATCTAGTTTGGATTCGTAATTTGTAGTTAAAAGTAAGAAAAAAAACATATCTCTCTATGACATCTAAGAAACTGACCTCACTATTATTCATGCAGAAAAGTCTTTTTTTAGATTAATAACTAAATGGATATTTATTTCGCATGACATGTAAAGTGTTTGCAAGCAGTTAGCAGAAACTATTGAACCTTGGTATTATACTCATATGTAATACTTATTCGTAATCTTTATATATAAGTCATAATTATAATGAAGAAATAAATGCGTATCTAATCAAACAATTCACTATGTTCTTTTTACAAAATCAATTTCAATTCATCCATTCATAATTACGCAAAGTTTATATTCTTGTTGCTTAGATACGATTGAATAAATATATATTTCGGTTGAATATTCAAATGAGATGACCTTGACCGAAAATAAATTGCATTATTTCATAAATGTTTTATGTGAATTTCACACTTTTATATTCAATTCGTCTATACACCTTGAGCTTTTATACTTCAATACATTTTTTTAAGAATCTTTCTTGAAATAAATTTTATAGGATTAAAATGAATTTATTTCATCTTTTTTTGTTGAAATCAAATTTAGCAATTTTCGCAAAGTTAGTCAATCTATGAAAAATGAAGTACTTGAAATATTAAGGATTAACGATTATCAACTAACCACCTATTTTTTAGAACTAAGTCGTTCGAAATGATAAAGAGGATGAAAACTTTATTGAATGAAATCTAGATCAGATTAGTTACATCACTAAATATCATACAGACTAGTGTCATTTTAATAATTAGAAAGATGTCAACTTTTGGAAATCATCGTTTTCATAGGTTGAAATCATGAGTCGATTGAAGCTAGACCACCATGGAAAACCTGGAAGCACTGGACAGCCGTTTCGTCCTAGTATGGGACTCCTCAGCAGTGCTCATCCACGATTCCGCACCACCGTCGGGTGCCGGCTCAGTAGTCTAGTGGTTAAGTACTCGCGCGCGAAGCCAGTACGTTTCTGGGTTCGAAATTCGCTTGGTGCGGGATAGTGGATGCGCACTGCTGAGGAGTCCCATACTGGGACGAAATGGCCATCCAGTGCTCCTGGGTTTTCCATGGTGGTCTAGCTTCAATCGACTCATGATTTCAACCTATGAAATTTCTGAAAACTCTCCACAAAACCCATTCTGATAATCATCGTTTTATTCAGATGTTTTCATAGTACCAGTTAGGACTAGTTTGACCTAAAAGCTTTAAACATAATTCTGCAATTAATCAATATAACACACAGATGCGAATTGAAGATTATTTTGCAACATAATGAAATTACTCCATATTTTAATAGTAAAGTAATATGTTAATGTTTGGAGCCTCATTAGTCCATATTTTTAGTGTGACTAGTCTATACGCTTATATTATTTCTCAACTGGTTTTATGTCCTGAAGAATAACATTTTGTCTATTAATTTTTAAGAGTAACAAGTTCAATTGTCAGTAGTATTAACATCAATGACAAGTAAATAACATTAATAAACTACAAAATATCTGACTTGTCCCCCATTAATTTCAACGATATGTTCTGGAATTTCATATAAATAAAAAGAATACACCAAAATTAGTTAATAATTTGTATCAGCGACTAGTTAGTAAAATCACATTTTCACTAAAGTTCAGGTTCAAATATCCAACTTTAATGTATACTGCTTGTGTAAGGGATTGTAGTACTAACTAGTTGCTAAGACAGAAGAAGAAAGGATGGAAGAATGGTTTCACTGTTTAGTACATAGTACCATTGATTTAGTTTGACTAACCATACTCATATATCCTGATTATCATTAGAACTAGTATTAAAATTAACTAAATACTATTTAATTTATAGTTGAGATTTTATGTAATAGTAACAATGACAGTTTTTGAATCAATCTTAACTTACTTCTTGTATATAATGCCATTACAATTTATGTTCTGTTTCTATTGTCACCTTAAACAACTATTCATTTGTATTTCTTTTCTATTTGCATAATTGACCGAAAAATGGAAATGTTAAAAAACTGACGTTTAAATTTTGACGTCATCAGAAAATGCTTAACATGAACAGAATTATTTTATGAATACAAAGTGAAACTATGGAGTTAATGTTCATTATCATTTGTTATGAGTTCTCTTATTACGGTTTAACCACTCTTATCGTTTAGTTTTCTTTCAAACTACTTCACTCGACAAGTCCATAAATCAGAACACAGTTGAACAAGAACATAATTATATTATAATTAAACAAGATTAAATGAAAGTAGGAATCACCATAAGAAAAACGTTAGTATATTTATATTTTTTACAAAAGAAGATTTTAGAGTGTTCTCCAAGAATTCACTAGCACCAACTGACTAAGAAATAGCTCCAACACAATCCTGAACGGAAAAAAACTCAAATCCAATCTATATCCCTCTAATGATAATAACTAAATAGTGTGAAGGAATTAATATATTCAGTTCTCCATAAAATTAGATGGGATTGACCATAACTCCCCTCAGATTCATGTTATGGTGAAATCATCTAACCCCTAATTAAAAGCTTTTAAATTTTCGCTATTTCAATCTTAAGTCCTCATACGTTGTCAAACATTCTTTTCTGAAGTAAACGACAAGCTCGATTGAGACAAGTGTACCAAAAACAAATTTATCCTGAACGAAAACAATATTTAATTATAACGGCATACATTTTGTTTGTGTTTAAACCTCCGCAAACATGTCTACATGACAGTCGTTAAGTAGTAATGATTACTGAATTGTAAAATATATAATTGCAAATGTTTGATCTTTTTGTTCCAAAATAAACTTCACTTATCACTTTGTACCATTCCTGTATGCAAACAAATAGTCTGATATTGAAAATTTCTCCTTCAATTAAACCATGTCAAATAGGAAAATCTTAATTGTTACCATGTGAAAATATGTATGACGAATAATTTTCATCATTAGTATGTTTTAGTTAAATATGCTGATATTTAATGACATTAGTAGTATATTTATTGTTCTATGAAATAAATTATATTCTAATCAACAGTTTAGCATTCTCTATTCTGTAATACAGAAACGGTGATTTTTTTCAATTCATTGAATCAAAATATTTATTTACATGGTTTGTGAAAATCAAATTCATTTAAAAGATGATTTTTATGAGATGGTGGAGAAGATTTGTAGTTCAGGTGGATGATTTATTTATCATATACTGATGTCAGTTAGATAATAATTTCAAATCAGATGTATACTTAAGATATCTATCTATCTCTAGTTTGAATCAGTTTAGTTAAATTATGCCCTATCAGCTGTATGCCTGAAATCACTTACAACATTGTCAAGTTAATAAATAACAATTCAATAGTTCATGTATCTGAATGCAATTAATTCCTACAAGGATTGTACGAAGTCATTCATTACTGTTGTCATGAACGAGAACACGAGTATGGACAATCGAATGTATTTGAGCATAAAATTACAGAACATCTCACTAAAATCTGAGAGGCATACAGTGAATAGTTAATTTGAAAAATATCAACCAATCGTCTCAAACTTGACTGTTCATTTTGCAAATCCCAGTCCATCGTTATAGGTTTCATTGTTCATGCATTTTCCTACCAATTATTCTCTGTTCCCGTTCTTTCCCTTTCGATCTTCCATTGAAATACATTCTATGTCCGACCATCGTAATATACTGCTTATGTGGATATAAGTAGCTCACTTCATACTATCATTGACCAACTGTAACATTCCTAACACGTGTTTGATTCATGTATAAAAATGTAATACCATCAATAATATAACAATTTCATTGAATTTAGGATAAACTAACTACAGAAATTTTTATATCTAAAAACTAATCCTTTTTATTGGTAGCTAATAAACCTATGTAATTTTTATTAACGATATTTAGAGAAGGAAAAAACCCGATTATTTATTGCTTTTTAGTCAAACTCCTAAATGAAAATATTTATTTCTATTTTATTCTACACAAAAACTCAATTTCGGATAGGTTGAAGCTAAAAAGGCCGTTCCAAAAGAAGTGATGAGTACAAATAATTCCTTGATTAAGCAACGACATCAGTTTATTCGTGCTCCAATTTGTAAGTTGTTACTTCCATGCTTAATATCCTATCATTATTATTTTTTGTTGACCAATGCTGTATAATCACATATTAATAATAATAATAATAATAATAATAATAACAAAATTACAGTTTGTCATAAAATTATCCAATTGCTTTCTGACATTTGATTGATCACTGGTGGTGATCGATGTCATGTATGTCAAGTCGTTCTTAGTGCAGATCTAATCCTCTCGACCAAGTTGCAATGTGGTCACTAGTCTGGATGGATCTACATTGCGTGCACTATGTTGAGATAAGATGGTAGTTGAAGGTAGTCAGCATGAAACCCTGAGCCTAGGTTTCGTGCTAGTTGACACTCATCAACAAGGTGTATCTATAATCTTAATGGAAATAAAGCTCCCTGATCGATTTGGATTTGAATCTCTTTCATCGAATTCAGCTTAGACATTCATTTTATATCAGTTGCACGCATTAAATGAATCTGTATTCAGCTGTCCTAGTAAATAACCTAAAGTAAATATAACATATAAAAGAGTATTTATTCAAACATTTCGAGACAATTTTCATTAAATGTACAGTAACCTTTAAATTTGTAATACTAATGTGCTGTATTTGTGAACATATTCAGTTTACAAGATAAAATTAACCTTAAATTCACCTTCAGAACCAAAACAGCTCAGTTTTATATTCTAAAATCAACCGCTTTGTTTTCTAAGTTTTGATATATATATTTGAGAAATGATTTCATGATATCCTATTAGGCTAATAAATATTTGATTTTCATATTTTAAAATTATTTTAGCACATTTTCTTCCTGCTCAGTTGAATGGAGCTGCAGCGGCGGCTGCAGCAGCAGCTGCTGCTTCATATACATTAACAGCAACATCACCAATTACAGCACGTCAACCAAGTGCCTATGCTTACTTACCTGGATATTATCTATCTCCAGGTGAGTGTCCTCTATCACAACCCCTCTCAGTCTTCTTACCTCCAACTGCTATTCTTCCTCCATATGCTAATGTAATCTCCATGACCTAAAAATTATGTTATTTATATTAGTCATAACTCAGTGAAAATGTAATATCTATATTCTTAATGGGTATGCAAATATATATATATATATATATATATATATATATATATATATATATATATATATATATATATATTGGCGCACTTCTATCGAATTTGAAAAAGCAATGAACACGTTTATTTTTGCTGTGTTTTATGCAAACTATTTCAAATAAAATATCTCGACATTATTCATTGCCCAAAATCGGAGTTAATGTTTCATTTTCGTTTATTGCATTGCATGTTTATCACTTGGTTTCTACAAATTCTATGCATCACATCAATTGTTTTCTTCCTCATTCATTATTCTTTCACATTCTTACTTCAATCATATCTACTTTATCCTTTCATTTTTCAACTAATGGTGTGTTTATTTGTTGTCTGTTATTCTATAGAATTTGTGTTTCTATGTATATTTGTATGTGCCTAAATTCATGTAGTTCAAAATATTTTATTTCAAATTGTTACATTTAAAGACTTGAATTGTCATCACTTTTTCTCTTTAAAATATATTTTTTAACAGTGAAAATGTTTCTGGGCCCCCAAATTTTTTCTAATTTTCATTCTTTTTTTTTGTATTACATGTTTAATTAACTTTCCCTCTTATTATCTGTGCTCATTTACCTTCCATTATTACTAATGTTAATTTTTATGCGATCATTTTGTGTAATAAAAAAACTAAATGAAAGACAGCAGTTATTTTTATTTTTATTTATTATTATTTTTGTTGTTGTTGTTGTTATGAACTAAAGCATGATGAATTATACCCTTTGAATTATCCAATGCTTTCTCAATCTACCTACACAAATATCATTATATGTGTGTATTTTTCATATTGTATAGTACATAAATTACAAATGTAAATGGATTATTTGTTTAATTATGGTGTCCTTTCTCCTTCTCATCAAATTTGAAACCTAACGATTAGCAAGTTAATTGAATATATATATATATATATATATATATATATATATATATATATATATATTACTTCTCCTGGAGTTATTTTGGTATGACTTACTTCTTTTGGTTCTTATTTTATTCGTATTGATTAATTTGACTCTTTTTCATTTCTTTGTGATTATTTTGTTAAAATGACAATCTAATGTAAAATGAAATTTTAATAAAACAATTGAACAATAATAATTAAATTAATCTGTATGATAATAATTGAAGATTTAAAAAGAAAAGGGAAATAATTGATTGTTTTGCATATACTTTATAGTTATATCAAACCAATGTTTATTTCAATCATTCAAGTTTAACTATAATTAAGTATTAATAAATGAATAATCAAAAGAAAACAATTCAATCAGTTACTTTAATATATATTGCCTTTATAACAATATAAACATGAATAGTAATACTGATATATGTAATAAAATCTAGTTTTTCTTTTTTTCAAACAAAAAATTATGGAAAAACAGTTCATTATATTACTTATTACTACTTAATTCAATTTCACTGGTTTATAAAAATCTCATTCCCCACCCCTATTCATTTATAAACTTTCCATTATTCAATGCATCTTATATATATCATGTATATTGCACAATCAAATGATAAATTACATGTAAACAAGCATATGACAATCTATTTAAACACAAAATAAAAAAAATATAAAAAAACATATTCAAGATTATATCTAAGAGAAATGACAAACAACGAGTAATAATTCTTTATTGTTGCACAAATATATATATATATATATATGTTGATTATCTGTATTTATTATGCATAATTTTGTCATATAAATGCATAAGGAAATAATTCTAGTAACTAACTAATTAAATAATTAAATAACCAATTAATAAGTATGATCAATCATTTGCTCAATCAAATTAATAAACAAAGGAATAATATTCATAACTGAGTATTATTACTGTTTGTTTATATATACATATACATATATATATATACATAAATAAGCATGCCTTAATGATTATTACCATCATTATCACTATACATTTACTTTCTTGAACGAGACAAACAAAACCTTGAAGTATTTGTATTTTCTCCTATGTTTTCCCCCCTTTTTTTAAAAAAAATATAAGAACACCTTACTCTTTTGAATTAACTGTATTTTGTGAATCTGGTTCTCTCTGTTTTGGAAAAAAATATCTATGCACAGTAAAGACAATCAAGAAGAAAATAACTAAATGAATAACAGTGACAACAACGACCATACTGATGATAACTGTTATATAAATATATATATATTTATATATATTTAAACTTGATCAGAACAGAAAGAGAAAAAAGATTTTAAAAATGTTAATTTATCTGTATGTTTTCCTTTCTGAAATGTTTTGTTTTAGCACGTTTGTTCTCTTTTAAACAACAATAACAATGACAAAAAAGAAGAATATTGAGTTGATTGTCTGGTATTGTTTGTATTGGTGGTTTTATTCGAATGAATGTTTATGATTCATTGTATTTATGTTATATCATCTAGCTGTGGTATTTCGTCACTGTGTCTACATATATACATATATATTCACAAACATGTAAGATTAGCATGTCGCGTTGTTTGTAAAGGTTTGTCGTTTAGTTTGTGAGACAATTTCGTTATGCATGAGATCTCCGATTGGGCTAAACAATTAATTTCATTATTGATGAAACTTGATTATATAAAATTATAGAATGTAACAGTGAAATTAGGTTAATTAAAGTGTGTGGTCGCACTACAAAATCGGAAAAACATCTAAGAAGATAATATAATTTGAAGGTGATTTACAACAAGTGACTTCAATGGAAGATGATGACATACTAGATATACGATTGTATAATAATTCATGAATAAATATATCATGGATACTCTTTTGAGAAATCTGTGACCTCGAACCTTAATTCATGCACTGTCTATATATATATGCATGTATATAAAGATAAACACGTGTATAGATTCCGATGTATCCATGTAAAAATTTGGAAATTTGGTTAGCAAATCAGTTATTTATGTTGTATTTTCTTGTAAGTAGGTAATGTCTATTGTTATCAACTTAAGTTTGTGAATTTATAAGCTCAATTTACAGTGGTTAGTCAGCAATTGACATTAATTATCTTATGACCATTTGTAGAAACGGCTGATATATTGTACAGTATGTAGATATCTCATATGTTTTTATTATTTTACTCCAAGTTTATTGATAACAAAAGAATTCTTGTTGAAAACCATCATTTAATGGCTTACATAAAGGAATATATATATTCAATGTTTATATATAGTCAGAAAATGCAGAGTTCGGACTAATTTGAAATAAGTCAACTGAACTTAAGTAAAAATCCAATAACTTATCAAATGTATGAATTTAGTAATCTTATAGTCAGGATTCTTAATTTTTTTATTATTCATAATTTTACCCACCAACTTAACGTATAGAGTATTGTTTAGCTTTACAAATAGATATAAATCACATGTAATGTGAACTCTGTAACACTTCAATCTTTGTGTCGATTTTTCGTTGGAGCTGATATTGTTTATTATTTATCTCTTCAAATTAAACTATGATAAACTCTCGTTATTATCATTTTCAGTCAACATAACAGTGCAAACATAAAAGTGGAAATAACTAAATATCATAAGTGCAATACACATTGTTAAAATGTATGCGGTAAATTTTACTGATGAAGCCATTAAAGTGTAAACTAACTATTGGATATGAACAGTTATTTGTTCACATATATTTATATATTAGGATGTTACTTACGCATATTACCTTCGATGGAGCATAGACCACCGAACACTATTCTCCAACTCACTCTGTCATACTCATTCATTTCTATTTTATATACAATTTTTGTTCATTCTTTTCATATCTGTCTCCATTTCTCGTCGTAATGTGTTCTCCGGTCTTCCTCTTCTTCTTTGTCCTTGAGGATTACATGTGAGGGCTTGTCTTGTGATGCAGTTGGGTGCTTTCTTCAATGTGTGTATGTCCTATCCACTTCCAGTGCTTCTTCCTGATTTCTTCCTCCATTGGTATCTGGTTTGTTCTGTTGCACAGTAGGTTGTTACTGATAGTGTCTGATCAACGGATCCGAATTATTTTGCATAGAGAGTTGTTAATAAACACTTGTGTAATGAGAACAACAGTAACCTATTTTTTTTCTCTCTTCACTCTATAGAGTTATTTTTTCTTTGATTGCGGTATTATAATTTCTTCTGTAATAAGAAATTTCTTTGATGATAGTTATAAAATGTTTTACAGTAAATTAACAAAAAAAAATAAGTAAACTATTCCCAAATTACTTGACCTTCAAACTGAGAATTAATAGTTAAGGACTCAAGTTTTTCCCTAACTTTTACATAACTGATGACCTCAAAAGAGTAATATATTACGCATGCATATAAAACGTTTTCAATGATCACTTAAGGAATAGTTAATGAAGTTGTTGGGATACTCAGAAGAATATCCCAGAAACAATTATCCGGTTAAGTCTAATGCTACCCTTGAACGTTAAATGGTGTCATTTCCCTATTGGTCGTTTCCCTACTGATCAATATTTATTTCGCGTGTCATTTTCCTATTGGTCAATATTATTGAACGTGTCATCTTTCTGTTGGTCAATATTTATAGTAATCCTAACTGTATAAATATGCATTTGTTTGTAAATCATTATTCTGCTGCTCCTGACCCCATAAATGATTTTTCATCTACGGTTCGTGTTCTGATATATTGGAGATTGGGAACAGTATTGGGGTCGAACTGGGATATCTGAAGCTTGTCAATTGGTAGAATTTAGAGTAGCCAACTCGCGATTCACAATAAATTTGGCGACGGAGATTTAGCAACAAGTTGGTGATTAACTATGGATCCAGCCAAATTAGAGAAATTGTTCGAACAGCAGCTGAAGCTGATGGAGATGCTTACTCAAACGCACATATCTTCTCGAGTCCCAACTGCACCGACAATTCCTGAATCAGTTGATGGTATTACCAGTGGTATTTCAGAATTTCTTTATGATCCTGATGCCAACATTACATTTGATACCTGGTTCAGACGTTATGAAGACCTTTTCAAAGTTGACTTTGTTGACAGAGATGATTCGTGGAAGG